GCAGTTTGGCCGGGGCTGGGTTTGAACCCGCCACCCTTGGTATGTGGGGCCAGCGCCCTACTCACTGAGCCACAGGCGCCACCCAATTTTGCTTCTTTTTTTCTAACTTGGATGCCTTTTACTTTTATTTTTTATCTAAATTGTTCTGGCTAGGACTTCCAGGACTATGTTGAATAGAAGTTATGAAAACAGGCATTCTTGCCTTTTTCCTGACTTTGGATAAAAAACTTTCAGCTTCCCCATTGAGTATGATGTTAGCTGTGGGCTTCTTGTTATGGCTTTGATTAGGTTGAGGCAGTTTCCTTCTCTTCCTAGTTTGTTAAGGCGCACCACTTTTGCCTTGTCCTTTTTGCTTTGTCCTTAATCCATGTGGAGACCAGCTGGTCACCTTCCTTCATGTAATAACCCTTTCTGTACTTTCAGGTGGATGCCTGAAAGAAGGCAGTTTCAATTTCCCTGCTTCAGAGAATTTCCCACAGTTCTCTTCTCTTTTCCATTAATTCATCTAGTCACAAGGCAAACCTTTGTTGAGGCTGCATTGTGTGCCAGACATGGCATAGGGTATTCCCATCCACAGGTTTCATATATATTGTCTTACTCTTCACAAGAGCTGTCTGAAATAGAAATTATTTCTGCCCCCATATGGAGAAGCAGAGATGCAGAGGGGCTTGCCCAAGGTATAGCCAGTTCCCATGACTTCTAGCACCAATGAATTAATCCCAGGCTGCTTTTGTTTCTATATCCAACCCTTAAGGCATTCTACTGGCCCTGCACAAGTACCTCCTGTCCTTCCTGAGCTGGCTCTGTGATCCAGGTGGAAAGGGTCCAGGACCAATCCTGAAGTCTATTTTCTCTCTTTGCATTCATAGAGGTCCTGGGCCTATGTCAAGAAGTGCAAAAACAACATGCGTCCCAACAGGGGCTTGGTGACTCAGCTTTTGCAATGGGAGCAGATTGTCCTAGGAGACCTAATCACAGACATCATGGATCCCCTCTACTGATCTCTACAGCCTGGGGATGAGTGCTGTGGGTGGAGGGCCAGAGCATGTATACTCAGGTTGATCTAGAAGGAGAAGGCCTTGGGTGCCTGAAGCCTCATGTCAGCTTCCTGTACTCATTCTTCCCAGGCTCCCTCTTCACTCCACGTGGAAGGTGTTCCCTGCTCAGGCTCCCTGAGAACCCACATCTCTACAGCATTCTGGACCACCCACATTGCATTCCTGAGGTTGCCTTGGGGAGAGCATCTGTTTGCAGGAGCAGCTGCCCCACATGCCTGGGGAATGCATCCTTTGGAGGCTGTCCTGAGGAGCCCCAGAGGTTGCCTGATTTGGTCCATAGGAGATGTTACAATGCCTACCCATTGGTGGAGAGCCCTCAGTCCTAGAGATGCCAGGCCCAATCTTGGCCGAGGCTCCAGGCTCCACAGATTCTGGAAGCTCTTGGAATGAGGGCACATCCCAGTGTTCCCTTGACAATTACTTGGCTCACCGCCCCCCACTCATTTCTGCCTGGCTGTGTTCACCAAGGAGAGAGTAGTCCCACCTCTCCCATCCCCTACAGATAAGTTTCTAGAACTTCTTCAGGTCTTAAAAGAGAGTTGTTTTCCAAATGCACTTTCCCAAAGCTGCCAGCACCCCACAGAACAACCTGGGAGTCAGTTGAAAGCACAGACAAAGGGACTGGTGGGGAATTTAGGATGTCCATCAATGCACCATCTAACTTGAGTCCATTTGGTAAACATTCCCTGCTACCACCTGGGGTTGGTCTGAGGACATAAAGGTGAATGTTATCCAGCCTCCTAGGACTCTCTGCAGAGGAATGGAGGGGATAGAGGGCTCACTCTCCACTTCTAGAAGGAGTGGGGTTTTGTCAGAGGGATAAGGGCTTTCAGGCAGCAGGATCTGAGTTGCAGCAGAGCCTGAGCTGGCCGATTAGGGACATCCTGATAGACAGGGCAGTCACTGCCAAGTTTTAAGAACATGCTGGGGAATCAGCCTTGTTTTTTAGAAAGGGCAGTTGGTGGCTTTGTGAAGGGACAGTGGAGGTGAGCCTGAAGGCAGGGGGACAGTGAGGAGGCCACTGTAAAAATCCAAGGAGAAAAGGCTCGAAATCTCCTCCCCGAAAAAGCGCAGCTTCCCAAGGACGAGCGTTCGAGGCAGATGTCACCTCCCCGGGCTTTGGTTTGCTCCCAGCACGATAGGCCAGGTCACCGCTGGCTGCACCACGCAGCTGGCACCGCAGGTGCTCCCCAGGCCAGGAGCCACAACCGCCGCAGCTTCAGTAGGAGAGTAGGCCAGGAGTCTCCAAGTGAGAAGCTGCCGTGCACGAGGCCCCGCCCTGGGCCCGGATTGGCTGGGGCGGGGGCGGGGGCGGGGCCAGAGCGCCGCCGCGCCAGGCCCTTTCCCGTTGGTGCCCGCGGCGGCTCGAGCCCGGAAGCGGACGGGGGTGGCTGCGGAGGCGCTTCGGGCCGGCGGGGGTTGCTGCGCGGTCCTAGACTCTGGGCTCCCGGCGCAGCGGGCAGCAACCATGCATCCCCCGCCCCCGGGCCCGCTGGGCGACTGCCTGCGGGACTGGGAGGATCTGCAGCAGGACTTCCAGAACATCCAGGTGAGCGCCGCTGCGGATGCCCATTCGCCCCGAGCCACGTTTCTGGGCTCGGGGTCAAGGGTCGCGCAGTCTTTGGTCAGGCTGCCGGGAGCTCAGGGTCAGGGGTCGGGGACTGGCGTCCCTCCCGAGGGCTGCAAGGCCCCGGGTACCAGTGTCCACAGGTACCACTGTCCCTGCTGGTCCTTTCAGTGTCCGGCGGCAGCCCCGTTCGTCCGCGCGGCTGCATGACCCTGACGGGACCCCACTGCGCTGGGCGACCTCGGTCTCCCCTGAGGCCTGATCCTGACCTGGACTCCACCCCTTCCAGGAGAGCAGTGTCCTGAGTCAGACACGGCTGGGCCCAACGTTGGGTCAGTCCCTCAGCAAACATGCTGCGGGCAGCGCCTTCCCGCCCTTGGGCATGTGTGGACTGAGTGCTGTGGGAGTCTGCGGGGAGACAACGGGAGAAATGGGGTTTAGGTGAAGTCCTCAGCCTGGATGTCGGCCCAAAGAAGTGGGGTTAGGGAGACATCTTCAGCCAGGATGGGGGCGCGGTCGTCTCAGGCGGAAGGGACAGCTCCCACCAAGACCTTTAGAAGGAAAGAGGGCAGTTGACAGGTCCATGTGGGGTGCTGCTAGGAGAGTGAGGGGGAGAAGTGGGTAGGGCCAGGCTCTGCGGTGATATCCTGAGCCTGGCAGGGATCAGCGTCCCTCTGATGCTACTGGAGGAATTGTCTGGATCAGGCTTGTAGGGGCCACTAGGGCTGTGCTGTCTGGAGGCCAGGGAAAAGGAGGCTGCCAGCTTTGTCCAGACTGGAGAAGGGTGGTGGCTGTGGATGGGCAGAAGTGGCACATGCTGGAGTCTGAGGGGGTATCGTGGCTCCTTCTGGCCATGAGAAACAAGACCTAGACAGAGTAGAGCCCAAGCCAGCTTTTGCCTTTCCTGGACTGGGTCCAGCCCCATCCTGTCTTCATTGAAACTGGCTGCCCCTGGCCTTGCCAAGCCTGCTGCCAGGTGCTTCTCTCCCAGAGGCCTGAGCAGACCCAGTGGCCCCACCTGCCTACCACTTTCCTGACCTCAGCCCCTCCTTGGCTCTCCCAACACTGCCCCTTGCCCAATATCTAGACTGTGCCTTCTCCAGATTTACCCACCAGGGCAAAGTGCTCAGAGAAGCCCTGGGCCAAAGGTGCTGGGGGGAGGGGGAGACTGCCTTTATAGCAGAAGGCCCAAGGGCTGAAGCTTCATGTCATGACCTTTAACCTGGAAGAAAGACATGGTCAGTACACCTGAACAGAAGGCACTTTGGATAATGCAAGTGCCCTCTGTAATTGCAGGCTGGCCAGGCAGGAGAAACCTAGAGAGCAAGGGTTTGGCTTCAGGCCCCTTGGTTGGTCCAGCTACACCTGTGGGCCTAGAACCCAGACCCAACTTGGGACTGAGAGCCCCTGTGGGAGGTGACAGCTCTGAAGGGGTGAGGATGACCAGTAGATGAACTGAGACTAAGAAAACCTTAGAGAACTGGTCTGTTTCTGGGTGAGGAGAGCTGCAGGGCCCCTGGGCTTGCAGGAAGACACAGTACCCAGCTCTTTGCCTGCCTTGTGGGACAACAGCCTCAGAGAGGTCTCTAGGCAGGCGCTGCAAGTTCAGCCTCCTTTCCTGCTGAGATCTTCCCAAGGAGCCCTGGGAAGCTTGTGCCCCATGCCCTCCCTGTGGGTTCTGGCTCAGTGGGCTCCTAACCAGCATGAGCCTTCTCCCCTGTACCCAGGAGACCCACCGGCTGTACCGCCTGAAACTGGAGGAGCTGACCAAGCTGCAGAACAGCTGCACTAGCTCCATCTCTCGGCAGAAGAAGCAGCTCCAGGAGCTGGCCCTCGTCCTGAAGAAGTTAGGACCCCTGCCCTGTCCTGCCCCTCTTTGGGCTGTGTGTGGGTGTCTGACCTTGAGGGGTGGGAGAGCTGGTGCTGACTCCTGGAGTGACCCTGAGCATGGCTTGTCCCTCTTTGGGGCCTCATTTGCCCTTCTGCCTTGCGGGTATCAGGATACCTGGGAGCCCAGATGCTCTGACTCTCTCCCTGGCCCCACCCATAGATGCAGACCCTCCCTCCCAGCAGAAGCCGAGGAGGCTGCGCAGGAGCTGGAGAACCAGATGAAAGAACGCCAAGGCCTATTCTTTGACATGGAGGCTTATTTGCCCAAGAAGAACGGGTAAGGGCCCCATTCCAGCTCAAGTTCACAGCTACTTCTAAGAGAGAGCCCTGAAGCCAGGTGCTGCTTCTTTGTCATTCCATCAGCAAATGTATCCTGGACCCACTGGGGCTGAGCCGTGAGGCATGGTCCAGATGTCGGGAGAGACAGCCAAGCTGACAGACAGCTCACTGTGGGGGAAGTATAAGGAACAGGGGTACAGTAAGGAACCGCTAGCTCACCCAGCCCAGGAGATTGGAAAAAGCTTCCTGGACTAGTGATGCCTGTGTAAATCTTAAAGTAAGCCAGACAGACCTGGGAAGGGAGGTCAAAGACTAGGAGGAAAACTGGAGTGGCCAGAGCTCAGAGTAGGAGGTGACAGCGCCGGGCTCCAGGGGAGAGGAATAAGCCAAATTTACACTTAGGTCAGCTGCTGTCACCAAGGAGGATGGATTAGACAGTGCAAAACCCTAGGCTGAGCAAAAACTTCCAGTACAGGAGGCTGTAGGCAGCAGGAAGGCTGGGAGAGGGGGAGTATGTCCCTGAAGGCAAGGAAGGAGTCTTGGTGCTCAGATGAGACAGGTTGGGGGGCAAGCGTGATAAGGACAGGAACATGCTTCCTGGAAGCTGGGCATCTTGGAGAGAACTATTTGGTACAGTGGGGGATCGATCGGAAGTTGATACTGGAAATGATGGAAGAGCCGAGGAGGGGAGACAGCAAAGTTTGGGTGACTCTAGAAGTTTGGTTTTGAGTAGAAAGAAATGAAAAACTAGGAGCTACACAGGGCTGAGGGGCAGCTTTTGCTTGGGTGTGGATGTTACTTTATACCTGAGAAGATGAGTATCTCCACCTGCTGAGAGGAGGGGCCCCACAGAGAAGCACCAGAAGAAAGTTTGGGGAGAGAGTGGTGGCTGTGGCTCAGTGAGAAGGGTGCCAGCCCCACATACTGAGGGTGGCAGGTTCAAACCTGGCCCCAGCCAAATTGCAACAAAAAAATAGCCAGATGTTGTGGCGGGTGCCTGTAGTCCTACTGGGGAGGCTGAGGCAAGAGTATCGGAGTTGTGACACCACGGCACTTTACTGAGGGCGATAAAGTGAGACTCTGTTTCAAAAAACAACAACAAAAAGGTTTGGGGAGGGATGGAGGGAGGCCCCTGGGGAGGGGTAGAGGACTGGTCCTGTGATGGAGTGGGAGCAGCAGGAGTAGCAGATGATACCAGTGATGTTGCAGGCAGGGCTGGGGGTGAAGGAGACACGATGGAGGGTGTGGGAGAGAGGTCATGAGGAGGCAATTGCTGGGAATGGAATGGGAGTTGAGTCTGTAGCCTGTGGAGCAGGGGTCTAGATGTGGGGCCTGAGTGGGGAGCCTTATGGGAGGGGCGGGAGTGGGGGTGTCGAGGCTTGCCCACCTCATTGGTCTCTAGTCAGGGTTGGAGTCCCTGTCCTGCCCTAAATCCCTTTGCATTCTTGGGCAAGTCACTCTGCGCCTCTGGCCCTATGGCTTGAGTGTGAATGAGAGTACATGTTACAGCTGCTTAGTAAGTGACTGTGACTTTGCTATCACTTCTTGGAGTATCTCTGGCAGAGAAGGGCAAGTTGATGTTGGTTGGTGGGAACGGAAGAGGGTGTGAGTTCTGCTGACTCAGGAGAGGCTTTGATGGGAAGAAATGGGCTTCAAGGCTGGTCATCTAGGTCAGGACACAACCAGAGCTCCAAGTTTTCCAAGGAAGGCTATTTTGGGTTGAGAGGAGGTCCCAGGTGTCATGGTGGGTATAGGTAGCTAAAATAGACCCAGGGCTGAAAGTTCAGGAGTCAAGGTGGCAAGGAACTGTGGGGCAGGTGGTAGATGGCCATCATCCCACAAGCAACGAGTCCACTGGCTGTCAGCAGGGAGGGAAAGTCTCAAGGTGAGGGAGTTTTATGCAGGGCACGGGAGGTGGGTGGGGGACATCAGTTTATTCCGGCTGGGACTCTGGAGCAGGCAGAGAGAAGGCAGGGGATTGTGTGGTTTGTCTGCAGCACCCCCAAGGTCAGAGCCCCAAGGCCACAAGGAAGGCAATAGAGGCACAGGCTTTGGCCCAGCATGCCCAGGGCTCTGTGCCACATGGCTTTTCTGTCACTAGGAGCCTCTTCTCATTCACCGTCCTTCTCCTCTAGGTTGTACCTGAGCCTGGTTCTGGGGAACGTCAATGTGACACTTCTAAGCAAGCAGGCTAAGTAATTTGTCATCATGGGCTGGGTCTGTACCACCCCACACCCTTCCCAAGTGCTTTCCACTTGGCTAAGCCTGGGGGTTTGGGAGTTGCTTCCCAGTGCTGGCCTCGTGCAACACCAGAGTGTGTCCTGGGGCAGAGGCAAGGATGGCAGCATCCCAGCCTGTCTCAGAGCGTGTGCCCTACAGGTTCGCCTACAAAGATGAGTATGAGAAGTTCAAGCTCTACCTCACTATCATCCTCATCCTCATCTCCTTCACCTGCCGCTTCCTGCTCAACTCCAGGTGGGCATCCTGCTGCTGGGGAGAGACGCTGCACCCTCTCCACGCTCTGTGGCACCAACTCTCTGTACCTCTCCCCAGGGTGACAGATGCTGCCTTCAACTTCCTGCTGGTCTGGTACTACTGCACGCTGACCATCCGAGAGAGCATCCTCATCAACAACGGCTCCCGGTGGGCGCGCTGGAGGGCCGGGACCCCTGGGAAGCGGGCACTGGGCTGAGGCACTGGTTTCTTCCCACTTCTGCCTCTTTCCTGTCCCTGAGCCTTGATCCTGTAAGGGGACAGGCGAGTGACGGTGGCTCCCTGACACAGGATCAAAGGCTGGTGGGTCTTCCATCACTATGTGTCCACGTTCCTGTCAGGAGTCATGCTAACATGGTGAGTGGCCAGGCCTTACGTGATGGGAGCTGGGACAGGGAGAGAGATGGCGTCCCCATACCTCCCACTGCTTTCTACCTTAGGCCAGATGGTCTCATGTACCAGAAGTTCCGGAACCAATTCCTGTCCTTCTCCATGTACCAGAGTGAGTGTCTCAAAGGCCCCTTCTTGGTGGGGGGAGGAGACAGAGAAAGAAAGAACTGAGGCTCCAGCCCCTTCCTCACCCCGCCCAGGCTTTGTGCAGTTCCTCCAGTACTACTATCAGAGTGGCTGCCTGTACCGCCTACGCGCCCTGGGTGAGCGGCACACCATGGACCTCACTGTGGGTGAGTCAGCCTGGCCCCCTCAGGAATCTTGCTGGGCAGCTGGGAGGCCAAGTTCCTCGTCTTCCCGCCTTGGTCTGAGTGATGGTACCCCACATCTGTCCCTCATCATTCTGCACCCTGCCTCTTTCCCCAGAGGGCTTCCAGTCCTGGATGTGGCGGGGCCTCACTTTCCTGCTGCCTTTTCTTTTCTTTGGACATGTGAGTTGCACCTGTGTGTCCCCATCCATCTGGCTTTGGGCTTGAGCAGGAACTGGGTTTACTGAGTAAAACTCCTCCCCCACCTCCTCAGTTCTGGCAGCTTTTTAACGCACTGACATTGTTTAACCTGGCCCGGGACCCTCAGTGCAAGGAGTGGCAGGTGAGCTGGGGCCCCAGTGAGGACAGCTTGGGAGGCCCAGGGGCATGGCTCTTGTCCTCACCTGGATTCTTCCCGCAGGTGCTAATGTGCGGCTTCCCTTTCCTCCTCCTCTTCCTTGGCAATTTCTTCACCACCCTGCGGGTTGTGCACCAGAAGTTCCATAGTCAGCGGCATGGGAGCAAGAAGGAATGAGGCCAGCCCCAAAGGGGCTTCTGCATCCTGTGTGTCGTGGGAGGGGACGAGAGGTGCCCCTTGTATGTGTGTATGCATGTCTGGGGGGGGGGCGTCTCTTCTGTTCTCCTGGGATTTTGTGGGCTCTGTGGGCCCTGAAGAAGGCCTGTGCCCCAGCCTGCAAAGAGCTGGGGGCACAGGGTCTCAATAAAGGAAGAGCCACAGATGGCCTTGAGGTGTGTATTCTCCTGAAAGGAAGGCGGTGGGGCCGGGCAGCTGTCTAGCTGTGTGCCTCCCCACCACATTGGCTCTCAGTCTGCTCAAGCACCACCAGGCAAATACAGAAAACAGAACTTTATTCCAAGGACCAGAGGTTATTTAAAATTATTTACACTCATTGAAAATCACATTGGAGGGGCCAGGCCCACCTTAGCTGAGAAAGCCCTCTGCACAGCCACTGAGGGCCTGAGGCGTCCCAAAATTTGGGGCCCAGTCACCCCTACTGTGTGCCCCAGGGCTGGGCGACCTTCAGGGCTAAGGAGGGTGCACTCCAGGCTGGAAGCTTTGTCACTGGGCCTGCTTCCCATGGCAAGGCCAAGCAGAACTCCCCCCCCCAGGAGCCCAGCAGGGAGGGGGAAGTGATTACATGGGCAGCAAGTCTGTGGGGCAGTGAGGGACAGGAGGGCCAGACAGTCCTAGCTCCACACGTCCAGGGAGTAGCGGCCCTTGGTCATTAGCTTCTTGATGTAGTCCACGGCTTGTGCATGCTCCATGCCCCCAAACTCGGCCACAATGTCATAAAAGGTGTTCTGCACATCCCTGGCCATATTCCGAGCATCCCTGGTGGCAGGAAGAAGGTGGCATTGGGGGGTAGACAGGTGCCGCCCACAGGCAGGCAGGCCCACCCCCCAGTCCCCAACTTACCCACAGACATAGATGTGGGCTCCCTCCTCATGGATGAGCTTCCACAGGTGCTCCCTGTCCCTCTTGAGCAGGTGCTGGACGTAGACCTGTGGGTGGGGAGGGAGGGAGGAAGACATGAGGCAAGCAGGCCCAGTCCCTGTGGCCACCTGGTTGTCCCCTGCCTGTGCAGCCCACCCCACCTTACCTTGTGGGACTGCTCCCGGGAGAAGGCTACGTTGAGGTGGGTGAGGGCATTGTCTCTGTGGAACTGGGCCAGTTCCTCGCGATACAGGTAATCCTCTTCCGAGCGGCGGCAGCCATAGTAGAGCAGCGTCTCCCCAACTTCCTTGCCTGGGTGGTGGCAGTAGAGTGAGTGGGCCCGGCCTGGCCTATTCCTGCCCTCCCGCATGGGCCCACACACTCACCCTGCTGCCGCAGCCAGGCCCGCTCTTGAATGAAGCCGATGAAGGGTGCCACCCCTGTGCCAGGGCCCACCATGATGACTGGGGTGGTGGCCTTGAAGGGTAGGCGGAACTGGGACTTGCGCACAAACATGGGCACAAGGGCCCGGTGACCGTTTTCTCCGGCAGGCTCCTTGGCCCGCAGCCAGCTGGTGGCCACACCCTTGTTGATTCGCCCAGACTTGGTTTCATACTCCACGGCCACAGCACAAATGTGCACAGAGTTGGGGTGGACCTGGAGGGAGGGCCCGGTGAGCTTGACCACCAGGCCAAGGCCCTCTCCCATAGGCTCAGGGACTCTTCACGCACTCTTGGTCCCCAAACTTCCTCAAAGGCCCCTGAGACTAAGGATGGAGAGAAGCCAACAGCTGGGGGGACCCTCAGAAAACTGCCTAGGCATTTGGCTCAAGGCTGGGGCTCCTGTGCTACCTCTGGTGAGCCCATCTGTGTGTGTGCCACAACAGGGCCTGGCCTCTGGCTGGCGGTTGATAGACCACAGCCCTCACCTTGGAGGAGGAGGCGATGGAATAGTAGCGGGCCTGGAGCCGTGGAAGCAGCTCACACAGGTGGTCGATGGGGGGCCGCAGAGATGGGTAGTCCTGCAGGATGGCCAGGATGTGCCTCCGGGCCTCCACCACCCAGCTCAGGTACAGCTCCTGGAAGGAGATGCAGGATGTACGGTGAGACACAGGTGAAGGGACAGGGATAACGGGGACCCACAGAGGTAGGACAGTGGTGGGCTAGGGGCTGCAGCATGGCTGAGGGGCAGAGTGGCCACAGCAGGTCTACCTTGCCCTCGCCAGAGGAGGAGGCCATCTTGCGTAGCTGCTCCTGCTCAGAGGGTGCAGAGGCGTACTGGGCCAGTTCGTACAGCACGTTGGTGCGGGGAGGATTGGTGATATCCAGGTAGTAGGTGAGGGCCGTGCGGTAGGAGGTGGGGCAGGGAAACGGGTGCTTCTTGTTGGACTCCTCTGCAGGGAGAAGGCAGGCAGGACATGGGGTGAGCAGCTGCCTCCTGGGGTGATGTCAAGCCTAAAGCAACCCTGCTCTGCAGGAGGCAGGCACCCCAGCAGATACTGGGAGCAAGGCCAACTCTCATTAGTGCCACCCTGGCCTAAGCTGAAGGCTTCCGGCCAGGCCTTAAGGTTTACGCAGGATGGCAAGTCCTCATCAGAGGTGGATAGATCTTGTTAGGGAGGCACTTTAATGCACCTGCATGCCCACTGTGTTTGCACTGCTGTGACAGTTTGACAGTCTAGTCCCTTTTCCTGCTGTACCTCTTAAGGGCTGATTCTGGAACTGGTGAGAAGTGACAGACCTGCCACAGGTTGCTAAGGATAGGAGTGGGCAGGGATGGGGCGGGGCGGGGGCCATCACAATGAGAGATGCAGGCTAGGAAGCTCTTCAAGACCATGCACAGACTTGGCCATGTGTCTAATACCTTCCAGCACTCCACGCCTGTAAGTGGGCCCAGAGGGCTATCAGGGTTGCTGACACGAGTGTCTTTCCAGAGAGGAAATGGAGGACCAGGAGCAGGGAAGGACCAGCTTCAGGCCCACAGCGGGCAGTCAAGACACACTGGCAGGGGGAGGTGGGGCTGGTTCTGCCTACAGGCCTCAGGAACCCCTCCTTCCCTTAAGGGACTATTACAGTGCTGTGGAAGGAAGCTCAAAGGAGAGGCCAGCCCTATAGCCACTCTGCCTCTCCTTGAGTTGCCTCCGGAAGCTATAACCATGGAGTTTCAGGGGTCAGGGTCCCTCAGGTTCCAGGGCTTCAGTCCTAATTAGAAGCAACATCAAAGGCTGGGGAGGGGAGAAGTGTGGAAGGTGGCCTCGATTCCAGGACTCACCATCGAGATTGTTCAGTGACATGATGACATCCAGGTCGGCACCTAGGATCTCACCCAGCTGGTTGACAAGGGCAGAGTCGTTGGCTGGGTAAACAGCCACATGGTCCCCAGATTCATACCTGGAGGGAGATGCAAGGCTGGCTCTGCACCTGGATCTGGAGGCCCCAAGTGAAGGTACAGGGGAGGTGACAGTGACAGCTGATACCTTATTTTGGAATCCGAGATGTCTAATTCCATGTGCATGAAGTGTCGCTCAGTTCCCTGGTTCAGCTTCCGGTTGGTGGCAACTGCAGCCAAGAATGGATTCTTGGCATCAAACGGGCTAGGTGGGGAGAAGAGAAGCCAGTGACTAGCCAGCCTTTGAGCTGCATCACCCTGTTCCCAAGGGATCCTTCTGCTTGCACAAAACACAGAGAACAGCAGAGGTGGCCCCTCCAAGGGCCAATAGGAAACCTTATCCATATGTCAAGGACCCTCCCAGACTAATCCAGCACAGCTCTCTCAACAGCCCACCAAGTGGGCAGTGCTAGATCATCAGTGTCCCCACTCACAGAAGACATGTGAGACCCTCTACACTCTGTGACCAGGGGTGGGTGAATGCAAGGGAGGCACAGGCCCTCAGAGATGGAATATAGCTCCCCACTCCCACATGCCCTGGACTGTAATGTGGATAAGAGAAATTTTACCATAGCAGTACTAATGCAAGCAGGGCAGGATGTGCCCCTGGGCGTGTGGTCACAAATCTCACAGTACGAGGACTTTTCTGGATGGCACCAGAAAGGATCTTTCCATTTATGGACAAAAAGTCCATCAATTGAAGTAGATTTTAAGGAAATGAGCCCTTTTGCCAAGGTTGAACCTGGACAGAGCTACACTAGCTACATCCTTGTCCAGGAACCAGTGTGCACCTGCTGGCTCAGCGTATATACAGCAAGATGTGTAAGTAAATTAAGTACAAACTTTATGAACACTGGTCTCACAAAGGCTGCACCTTAGACTGGTGCCACCTAGGGCAGGGGGCTCCTGAGAGCCCTGGCATGGAGCAACTGCCCATCTCTGGGCCTCACGCCCTCCTGTGCAAGGGACACTCTTGTGCCCTGGGGGGATGCATTGAATTGTTGCCATCCCCACATAGGTGTGTCATGGGCCCCAGGGCCATGTGCCTGCAACCATGCTGTATCCACTCACGGTTTCTGGTTCTCATAGCTCTTCAGCCGGCCCATCTCGCCCACATACACCTTGGCCATGTCTACATCTGTGTGGACCACAAGCTCGTACTGGCGAATGCTAGAAAGGGGAGACCAGAGGTGCTGTCAGGCATGGGGAGAGGGAAGGAAGGAGGGGGCAAGGGGAGCAGCAGCCTGAGCTTCTAGATGATTCCATAAGAAGGTATGGAAAGCCCAAGCATCTTAGCTGGGACAAAAGACCCTTGCTGACCCCACAACTGAGATTCTGCCAACTTCTCACCATCCCCACTGCCACCCCCAGACCAACCCACTCTGGAATGGTTGCTCCTAGGAACCGGCTGAGGCCCCTCATACTCTGTAGCCTACTTACCTAGACTCCTCCCCAGTGGCTTCCACCCCAAAATGCTCACACACGGCCGGCCAGAACTGCTCTCGCCAGGTGATAAAATCCTCTTCCAAGCTGAGGAGTAGGGAGAATGAGCTGAGCTGGGCTGGCTCCCTAGATGGGGTGACCCTCTCCCTCACAAGCTCCCTGACCCAGCTCCCTTCCCCAGAGTTCTAGGGGCCGAACAGCAGTGTGAACCCAAGGCATCAGGAAGGAGCTAAAGGAGCCTCTACTTGCTGGGCAAGCCAGGAAAAGACCCAGTGACTCAGCAGGACTAAGTGGAGGGAGGGTGAGTCCCCTCTCTTGTCAGTGACATGTCACTGAGTTTCAGCTGACAATGGTTTGCATCCCCCCATGTTTCAGTCAAGTCTCTAGACCTGTGGTGCCTAATACATAACAGTGGGGGCCCTAAGGTGGTGGCCTAGGCTTCAGGGCTATAAAGCAGGGTGTGGCACTCACTTCCCATCATCGTCACCCAATCCCAGCTCAAAGATGCGCTGGGCACCGAGCTGCTCCAGCCGCTTGTCCACATACTTGCCCATTGCATTGAAGTGCTCGTAGGTCTTGTTCCCAAGACCAAACACCTGCGCAGACAGAGGGAGCTCTGAGGCCTGGTCTCCAGCATGAACAGTAGGGCTGGTTGAGCCTCTAAGCAGTGCCTGCAAATGTCTGTACCCGCCTAACACCTTGCACTGTGAGGACATCTAAGCTTCCTTCGGCTTCCTCCACAGCCAATCTCTAAGCCTCGATCCCATGTGGCAGCAGGGGTGCAGCTCACCTTCCCTACCTGGTGGGCAGCTCTACCCCTCCTGCTTGGCCAAGACTCAGCCATCCTGGCACATCTGTCTCACCTTCAGTCTCTAGCAACAACTGGGGCTGGGGACATGGAGGAGAAGCTCTCTTCCTGCTAGGGCGAAGGGCACAAGCAGCCACCCTCTGGGACTCCCCCATGAGCTCACTGTCAGGCCTTCAGCCCCCCCTGGCTGATGGGTGAGAGGACCTCCTTTTGGACCTGAGGAACCAGCAGCCCAGGGGAGGGGCTAAGGCTGCCATGAGCCCACAGGAGTCTCTAGGTGACTCACCGCATACTTGACTCCAGATAGATCCACATCTGTCTCCTGAAGCCAGTCATAGAAGTCCTGGGCATTGTCAGTAGGGTCCCCCTCGCCATAGGTAGCCATGCAGAAGACTACCAGGGCATTGTCTATTTCTGGGAGGCTGCTCAGGTCGGCCTGAAGAGAAAGGGCAGAGCTGACCATGATTAAGCCTGCTCTAGGTTGGCCTGCAGCAAAAGGGGATACCAAGCCCTGCCCAGGGCAGAGCCCAGCTGGGGATGTGTAGGTGTTGTGGGGTCAGAGAAGGAACAAATCTGTCTGCCTGGGAAGTGCATGGAGGATCAGGGATGGCTGAGCAGAGGGGGCTGGGGTTAGAGCCAGGGGAGCAGGACGATACAGTGTGTGTTAGGCTAGAGTGGATAGTGTGTGTTTCTAGAAGAAAGAGGGCAGCAAGCATGACGAGCACAGGATGGGGAGAGAGTGTGATGTAGAACCAAAGACCAGCTGGCTTCCAGGCCACCCCAGGGAAACCTCACCATTCCAGAGTCCCTGGCTTATGGCATGGCCTGGGTGCTCATTGACGTCTGACTAAGGTGTTCATCAACTTGAAAAGAAGCCTAGAGAAGGCTGGGTGGTGGTACCTGTCACCAAGACCCCAAAGGAGGTGGGGTGAATAGAATGAGTTTGGTTTGGGACATGAGTAGTCCTTGAGGGAAGCAGATGGTGCTCAGGAGAGGGCTGGTTTTGAGGGAAAGGACATTCAGCTGTTGCTGGAGCTACAGGACTAGCTCTTCCTCACCAGCAAGGCCATGACTGGCAATGGAACAGTGGGAAAACAACTCCTGGTAACGCCTTTGTGGGACCTCTGCTCCCTCCTAAGGGGAGCCTACAGCTCAGCTCTACTTGCCTGCCCACTGCCTCCATCTGGGCTGGCAGCCTGTCACTGGCTCTCCCAACACAGAAACAGGAAACAGACTACTGGAAAGTTCTTACACTTTGAAAGGCCACAAGTGAGTGAGGAGGAGATAGAGAGAGCCAATTCTAGGAAGAGCCAGTGCCACGAGGAGCAAACCTACTCTCCATGGCCCTCAGAGACAAGGCTGGGTCTGGCTGAGGCCAAGAAGTCAGGATTTAGTCCCTCAGTGGCCCACAGGGGAGCACTGTGTTGAGGCCTACTGACAGGAAGAGCACTCCTACCGTATCTCCCCATACCTCACTGTCCCCTCACACTCTGGCCCAGATACACAAATTATTAGCACCCTCATTACAAAGCTAGCTGAAGGGTTTTCAGAGGGACCCATCCCATGCCCTCATCCTTCCTCTGTAGGTAAGCAAGGACAATGCCTGGGAAATCAGGGCAGGGCAAGATCTGCACCCAGGTGACCTGACTCTACATTTGGTCTCCGGCCAATGCATTTCCAGGTGGAGAGAGATGGGACAGAGTTCCTCTCCTGGAATTCTGAAACATCCACTCAACTAAGTGCCTGGGTCCCTTCTGTATCCACCAGCCCAGTACTTGGGAAGCCCCACGGTGCAGAGGCTCACTGGGTACAGACACACATGAGCACACACTGCCTTGCTGACCTAGACCAGGGACTCTTAGAATGTCTTAAAACTGGTGCCATGTGGCTTCTAGAACCATCTGTTCCATTGGCTATCTCAGCCCGTTAAGCCTCTCTGTGATCCAGAGGTGAATCCCTTAACACCACTGGAAGAGACAGGAAGAAGGAGGCAAGTGCCTGGCAAGAGCTCACCAAGTCGTACTCCTCGGGGTCTGCTGCCATGCCCCGCATCCCGTAGCGATGGGCGTCCTTGGACAAGCGATTGGCAAATTCCTCAGCAGTCCCTGTCTGGGAGCCGTAGAAGACGACGATGTTCTTACCCTAGGGAAGGCCAGATACATGGGGTCAGTGAAGGGCCCACAAGCCACAGCCTTCACCCAAGGCTCCAGTGGATACTCCCAGGGTCCCTCAAAGGCATCCTCTTTCCTTCCTAGCTCCAAGTCCTTTCTAAATGGCTCTGGGGCTGGCTTCTTACTGTCAGAGCCACTGTGATGGAGGAGGGCAAGTCACCCAGGTGATCTTACACATTTGGCTACTCAAGATCACATTCTCACTTTTTTTTTTTTTTGAGATAGAGTCTCACTCTGTTGCCCAGGCTGGAGTGCCATGGTGTCAGCTCAGCTCACAGCAATCTCAAAATCCTAGGCTTAAGCAATCCTCAACCTGAGTAGCTGGGACTACAGGTGCCTGCCATGATGCCCAGCTAGTTTTTTCTATTTCAAGTAGAGATGGGGTCTTGTTCTTTCTTGATTGTAGTATACATTCATAATAAAGACTTGAAACTCAGGGAAAGGGTACTATGGCTTGGGTTTCAAACTCATGATCTCAAGTAATCCACCCAGTTCAGTCTCCCAGAGTTCTAGAATTACAGGCGTGAGCCACTGTACTCGGCCTTCTGACATGGTTTTTTTTAATGACATGGAAACAAACAGTAAGTTTAAAAAGTAGGTAAGAACACAATATGTATGCTGCAGTCATCCCTCACTATCTGTTAGGGATGGGTTCCAGGACTCTCCAAGAATACTGAAATCCATGAATGCTCAAGTCCCTGATATAAAATCATGTAGCATTTGCATATAATCTATGTACATCCTCCCATTGTATACTTTAAATGAGGGGTCCTCAAACTTTTTAAACAGGGGGCCAGTTCACTGTCCCTTAGACCGTTGGCGGGCCAGACTGTGGGACCCAGGATGAGTCAGCTGCTAAGTAGGACAGGCAGCGGCGGCAAAAACACCCGGTGGGCTGGATAAATGTCCTAGGCAGGCTGCATGTGGCCCGCGGGCAGTAGTTTAAGGATGCCGCTTTAAATCATCTCTAGATTACTTGTAATATCTTACACAATGTAAATGCTAGGTAAATGGTTGTTATACTGTATTATTTGGGGAATAATGATTAAGAAAAAGGTATGTATGTGTTCAGTACAGATGTGACCACCCATTTTTTCCCCCAAGTATTTTCAATCTGTAGTTGGTTGACTCCATGAATGCAGAGCCCATGGATACAGAGGACTGACTATATTTACAATATAATTGGATCTTATATATGTTTTGTTTATCTACACATGCAGAAAGGAAAAAGACTGGCAAGAAATACATATACCAGGAGTCTCTAAATACAGAATTATGGGTATGGATTTCTGGTTGGTTATAATACACGTTCATAATAAAGACTTGAGACTCAGGGAAAGGGTACTGTGGATTTGGGTCACACACTCTTCATTCTACACATCTTTTACAGCAGCTACTGAAAAGCCTGAAACCTTGTTTCCCAGACTCTTGTACAGGTAGAAATATAGTAAAATTAAATTTGGGGCAGTGCCTGTGGCTCACTGAGTAGGGTGCCAGCCCCATATACTGAGGGAGGTGGGTTCAAACCCAGCCCTGGCAAACTGCAACAAAAAAAATAGCTGGGTGGCTCGGCGTCTGTGGCTCAAGCAGCTAAGGTGCCACCCACATACACCTGAGCTGGCTGGTTTGAATCCAGCCTGGGCCCACCAAACAACAACGACAGTTGCAACCCAAAAAACAGTCAGGCGTTATTGTGGGCACCCGTAGTCCCAGCTACTTGGGAGGAGGAGGCAGAAGAATTGCTTGAGCCCAGGAGTTGGAGGTTGCTGTGAGCTGTGATGCCACAGCTCTCTACCGAGGGCAACAAAGTAAGACTCTGTCTCTAAAAATAAATAAATAAATAAAAATAAAATAAAATTAAGTTTGGCCACCTAGATGTGCTTAAGTTCTAGAAGGTAGGAGGAAGGTAGAAGTTCTGCTCTTTTATGCAGAACAAGAGGTTCTTAGCAATGTTATTTCAGTGCCCATTCTTCAATGTCCGACTATTGCTGATGATTTTGCCAGCCTGAATTCAAACTCCCAGGCCTGGTTTCAGGCTTATGGGATGTTTAGAGGCAGTTGCAGAAGTCGTTTCTGGTCCCTGGATTGTAGATGCACACAGTGTGACCCGAACTGTCCTGAACGCAACAATTCCAGGCTGGATTCGGAGGGAGCAGTACCTGTGTAGGTCAGCCTGAGACCTACTTGCTCCTTTAGCCCTTTGAGTACCTGGAAGCCCTACTTTCTGTGTGAAATCCCTTCTACATTAAACTGCCTCAAATGCCTAGAGTGGGTTCTGGTGTTTTAACTGAACCCCAACTCATAAGGGAACAAAATAAAACTTAGGAATCACAACTGGTTTAAAGTGTTCCTGTGACTTTTCACATTTTCTGAAATTTCTACAAATCATTGTTAACATATTAAAAAAGATATTTTAAAATAATCACTATATTGGCTTGGCACCCATAGCACAGTGGTTACGGCGCCAGTCACATACACTGGGGCTGGTGGGTTCAAACCTGGCCCAAGCCAGCTAAAACAACAATGACAATTACAACAAAAATAGCCAGGTGCTGTGTCGGGCACCTGTAGTCTCAGCTACTTGGGAGGCTGAGGTAAGAGAATCAGTGAAGCCCAAGAGTTTGAGGTTGCTGTGAGCTGTGACGCCACAGCACTCTACCGAGGGTGACATAGTGAGACTCTGTCTCAAAAATAAGTAAATAAATAAATAACATAAAATAAAATCATCTCTATAAAAACTATTTACAGAGGCTCAGTGCCTATAGCTCAATGGTTAGGGCACTGGCCATACACACTGGGGCTGGCTGGTTTGATCCTGGTCCGGGCCTGCTAAAGTAATGATGACTATAACAACGATAACAAAAAATAGCCAGGCATTGTGGCAGACACCTGTAGTCCCAGCTACTTGGGAGGCTGAAGCAAAAGAAACACTTAAACCCAAGAGACTGAAGTTGCTGTGAGCTGTGATGCCAATGTACTCTACTGAGGGTGACATAGTAAAACTGTCTTAAAAAAAAAATTACTTATGGGAAAAAATGCTTATGATGTCAGATTAAGGGATGTAAGAGAGCAGCTAAGTATATACAGTACCATCAAAATATATAAAATACCCAGAAATAAACTTTACAAGAAACGTATGAGAAGCTACTGAATGAGACTCAGAAATGCAGCATGATCCTACTAAAACTCTGAACAGGTTTTTTCCTCCACAAACTGTTCTTAAGAGTCATATGGAAAAATAAACACGAATCCATCCACTGGAATGTCATTTGGCATGAAAGAGGAAGGAAGTACTGATACGTGCTTGGATGAACCATGAAGACAGTGTACCCAGTGAAGGAAGCCGGACACAAAACGCCACACCTCAGGTGACTCTTTGTAAATGAAATGTCCAGGCTCGGCACCTGTGACTCAAGCGGCTAAGGCACCAGCCACATACACCTAAGGTGGCGGGTTCGAATCCCCAGCCCGGGCCTGCCAAACAACAATGATGGCTGCAACCGAAAAATGGCCAGGCGTTGTGGCGGGCACCTGTGGTCCCAGCTACTTGGGAGG